AACAAAACCTCAACTTAAGATATATTTGATTTAAAATGACTATCAAAACTTACTCATTCATATATATACATATATATATTTATATAATGTACATGTTATAAGATGAATTTGATTATAGTATGACCCCTTCTTCCCAAGGGCATGAAGAAAAACAAGATTACAAAGTAAAAATCTGCATTTTTAAATGTCTTTTAAGAGGCTGGAGAGATGCTCAGTGGTTAAGAACAATAGCTGGTCTTATAGACAACCAAGGTTCAGTTCCCGGCACCCACATGGCAGCTAACACCTGTCCTTAACTCCAGCACCAGGGAACCTGATGCCTTGTTCTGGCCTCCACAAACACTGGGCACATACCTGGTGCATCCACGTACATGAAGGCAAGTATTCATACACAAGAAATCAAAAATTAAACAAAATGCTTTAGAAATGCATTAAGAAAACTTGCTAAAAATATGGGGGTTGCCTATAAAGGGAAACCTCATACACTCCTCAATGAACGTGCTTCCGGTTATCCACTTCAGAAACTCTACTATGAGGTTTTTGTTATTGTTGTTGTTTTCTGGTGTTGGGAATTAACTCCAGACTTTGTGCATGCCAGGCAAGTATTCAACTATCCCTACATCCCTAGCTCACATGTCTAGTGTTTAATGTAAATGTTTAAATAATCAAAATAATTGCATGAATCTATGAAGAGAAAATTTCCCCCAGGCTGTCCTTGTTCTGGTCAATGTTTGGACACAGTTGAAAGTAATTCCTGTTGGGAGTAACATTGCCCTGGTTTTCCCTATGGAATGCAAGTGAAATAAGAGATTCAACTGAAACAACCAGAATGAAAAGTGTCCACACAAATCCATGCTAAAACTCTCTAGGACGACCCTTCTAGTTCAGCCACAAAGTCCCTGTTTCATTTGTGGAAACTGACAGCACACCCTAAACTCCTCAGAGTTCAGTACTTGAGCCTCAGAGAGGTTAAGTGCACACCCTTGCCAAGTGGGACACAGGTGGCCATCCCTGCGCTGCATTTAAGGAAAGGGGCCCAGAAAAGGGGAAGGTCCAGATCAGCACACCTTTCAGAATAGCAAGGCCAGCGACGACAGGACTGAATGACAGCACTCATCAACCTCAGACCCCCAGGAGGTGAGTGGGACATGTACGTTAGATCCAAGTCCAGAAAAAGAAATGATCTCTAAATCCCCGAGGACTGAGTTAGAGCCTTTACAGGGGAAACGGTGCTACACAGCGCTATTTCTTTTTATTTGGATGCATATTTGACATTGATTTACCAATAGCCAGGTGGTAAAACACGTTTTAGAATGTAACTGTCTATGTACAGCTATAGGCTGATTATATTTAATATGGTGTCAACATGTTTTACAAAAGGGCCTTGAAAGAGGAGAGATTTCCAATTATCTTGAAAGCTGAAATAAATCTGATTGGCCTGTGAGACTCTGGTGTCGGTCTTGGACCTCAGCACTTGCCTCCAGCAACATCCCTCCTTCGTTTTCATGACTGGGAGCCTTGTCCTCCTCCTGACTCATTCCAAAACCATAGCATCTGCCTTCTCCTGATGCCACAAACGAACCATGTATAGCAAGAAACCAGTGTGAGGAAGCCAGTGCCGTGAGCCAGAGACTTCCAGCGCACATTCTTGTTACTTTGGGCACACAGAAATGAACCGATCAATAGCAAAACAGCAGCAGAAAAAACAACCTGTTTCCAAGAGATGCAAAGTGAGAACCATAGCAAAGTGACCTTAGCCAAAATGCACAGGATGCCGGCTCATAACAGAACAGGCTGGCACTGGGCACCCGGCAGCTGTGTGTATTTGAACTCACTTAGAAATGTCTTTATCTTTGCAACTTTGTAGAACCAACAGAACGTGTAGAGAAAATAGAGAGAGAGAGAGAGAGAGAGAGAGGGAGGGAGGAAAAATGCAGCAACGTTAACATTAGTACAGACAGAGAGGGCACCACTGAGGAAAATGCCCCCGGTCTCCTTCACGAAGAAGTGACCACTGTGGTTTTACCAGGGGAAGCTCTAGGCCTCCACGTCTGTGGGGAGCAGCCAGCTCAGCCTCTCACAGAGAACCCAGGACAGATGCCATCTTTTCATTTCATAAATGCGGAAACTGAGGTAATGAAGGCTTACATAACCCACCCAGGGAGCACACTCACCTTGATTATGAAATGAGATGAAAACCAGACCTCGGAATCCACGGTCTCACCCACGAGAACACATTTAAATAATTAAAATGAACACTTTTCATTTCTGGCGTCAAAACAGCCAGTGTGTGGTAGTGTCTAAATGGAGAAGGTTACCTACATGCCACTGAGCCCTCACTGAGGGTAAAGAGCTGAAAACACAACAGAAATTATGGGGAAAGCTTGTTATTCCTCTATTGCATATAAGGTCACTTTAAATGCTGACCAATTTTAATTTTCAAACACTACCTGTGATTATATATTGCCAGATACTGTTTATGTGTTTACAGAAAAACTTGGAGCAATTTGCCTGACAGAAGAGAGTGCTTGGAGGATAGTCACTAAAGAGCAAAAGGTCAAACCTCAGGAGGTGTTTATGAAGGATCAAACTTAAGCTACAGTCAAGATGAGCCACACTAAGAAATGAGAGTGCTAATCATGAGGTGAGGTAAGTACAAACCGCTGCTCATCTACTGCTGAATAACCATTCTGAACCCAGCTCCTCCACGGAATCACCCCGCTCTGTGTTCCTTTTCCACAGACCGCTGCTGTCTGTGAGCAGATACAGCGAGTGCACCTTGTTTTCTCTTATTAAAAAGTATTAAATACAGTACTAGTTTTCGAACTTAGTAACTCAACCATTTGGGAAAAAATGTATCAAAGAACTTTTAATTACCTGGTCCCACTTTTCATGCAATTTCCAGTTAGGAGCCAGAGATCCACTTAAGAACTAATGGCCAGGCCATCTTCAGAAATGACTTTACAGTACCCGCCACCTGCCTCTTCAGTGCTCACTATAATGAGCTCAGGAATGCCGTCACACGCACGACCCAGCCCAGCCTCCTCCTCCACTCAGCAATTCAGACTCTCAGGACAAGTAGCTGGCGGCTTTTCTGATTGTTCATTCAAGCACACGTGTGTTGCTGAGTATTCACGAACATTCACAGATACATGTGCTGACACACAGGTGTCATTTTACGTAGCAGTTTTGCCGTCCCCAGGTCATTGCATTGAAAACCCAAACTTGTTCTCGATAAACTGACCTTGAACTTTAAAGAGACTTTTCTTATGATGCTACATGAAGAAAACATTTCCATCAATATAAATAACGTGTGTGCATGAGTTTTTATATGTAAATATGTATGTGTGTGCATGAATGTTTATGTGTATGTGTGTGCAAATCTGTGATTGCATACATTTTCATGTACCTGTGCCTGCATGTGCAGATGCATGCGTGTGTGTTTATGTGTACATGTGTGAGTGAACATGCATGTGTAATCTGTGAGATTTTTGTGCATGTTTGAGTGCATTTCTATATGTGGATGTGTGTGCATGGGTGATATGTGTGTGTATTTGTGTGTGCATACATGAATGTGAATGTGTGACATACATGTGAGTGTCTCCATGTGAATGTGCATCCATGTGTAAGTATGTACATGTGTGTGCTGCCAAGGTGAAAGCCCTCACCAGTAGACTTTCTCTTAATGCACTTATGATGGCCTATTTCAACTGAAACAGAAATTAGACTTTATAATGCACAGCGATTTGCACACCAGGTAAGTGCACATGTCAAATAAATGTCTGAAGTCAAAGTGCTACCTTAATACATTACAGTCCATGGAGCCACACTACCTCCATGGAGGCCAATGTGGCGGCTGCTCTTTACGTCTTTGCCATACATGAAGCAAACTGTCAGCTTATGAATGCTTGTTCCCCAAGGAATCACAGTCACAGATATAAAATATAAAATTAATGATGTTGATCAGATAAAATCGTCACAGGTTTACAGAGGTTACAACGTCAATCATCAGAAGCATCCTGGGTTTTTGCTGAGGGTGGGTCTTTTCAAACCATCGCAAAGTCTAAGAAATTTTTATTTTGCCCCCCAAAATTTGCACACCTTCAAAATAGATATAATCGTTTTAGGCCACAGTAGCTTGGAGATTTTTTAGGATCCTCAAGTTAAGAAAGTTAAAGAAATGGAGTTGGATCCTCTGTGGAAAGAACAGAGCTGTGGCCTGAGATGTGAAAGTTTCTCCTCCATAGCAACGGTGCAGGTGCAGCCCCAGCTCAGGCTTGCACAGTTTGGGCATGATTCTGCTTGTGGCTCCATGCTTTCTCCGGTGCCTGGGGCTATATAAACTATTTCTCCCTTCTCTCCCTTCCTTAGATATGCCAGTGGCCATAGGTAGCAGGTGAGCCCCTCTTGATGGGGTACTTTTGTGGAATGCTGGTCTGCACCTCCACTTCAAATCACCTTCTTGTCCTTACCAGCCTGTGTCTAGGGGCTCAGAGGGAACAGTAGGGGGCAGGGTATGTCATAAAGTTTCATGTGTCAGTATGATTAATTTGATCTGTGATCTGAATAGACCAGGTGTTGACTGCCCTAGCCAAAGGAACAGGGGTGTCTGAGGTCCAGTGACCAAGCCTAGAGAAGGAGCATCACAAAGTGGTCCATGATCTTTTTACTACATAGAAATGATGGGTGCCCTCATCAGGAGGAAGGTGGGACGATCCCCCAGGATACCTAGTAATGAAGAGGAAGAAGCTCCACCCTGACTGGCCTCAACCTACCTTCCTGTCATGAATCTGAATGAAGGTGAGAGGCTGAGCAGGGTTCCTAGGCAATGGCATCCCTCATTCAGGGGCCCCAGCTCCTGTGCTCACCCCTCGTGGTCCACAGTTCACTTCAAGTGGAGTTGGGTAATCACTGCAGGCAGGAAAAAAAAAACAAAACAAAACAGCACGGGCCTTCTGAATGTGAAGTGTCATGATCTAACTGGGCTTTCTGACTGCGGACCTGAGGGTACCCGGAAAGACTCTGAACTTGGGGGATGTGTCACTTGGGGGTAAGTGCCAGAGGGAAAGGCCAGAGTCAGGGGTACCACAGACGTCTGCCCTATCCTGAGCTGTCTGCCTAGTGACACTGAACCAAAGGCCTGTGCTGGGTCAAGGTCCACTTTTCCTCCGGCAGGAGTTTGAGTGCAAAATGGAAATGTAGGTAGCTTTGTTCAAACAAGTAAGTATACAATAAATGAAATCATGGATGTGGTCTCCTTGACAGTGTGTGAAGGGTTAATTCAATAAGCTGTTTTGAGCCAGTTATTATATACAGAATAAAATCCTGTATTTAGGTCATAAAATCTCTGTTTATAAAACATTTCAGTGGTTTTAACTTGACACAAAAATGAGAAAGCAAAATATGTCATTATCTTTAAATTGATTATGCTGCTTGGTTTATATTTTTATTTTGGATATACTAGGTTAAATAAGCATATCATTAAATTATAAAAAGTATTCAGAGGTTTTATACAACTATTGGTGAGACTTGCATGAACTAGGGAGAAGAATCAAATTCACATCCTCCAAATGTAAGACTCACTGACAGGTTTTAGGTTTTAAGCCAAAGAAATATGAACTAAATTGCTAAAATTAACTTACAATTGTTATACTAATTTAAAATTGTTATATCATATTAATTTATAATTGTTATGATAATTTTTAAAGATGCATCTATTTTTTATTTTGTGTATGTGTGAGTGCCTGATGTATGTATATGTACTACCTATGTCTGGGGCCTGTAGAGAACATGTGGGTGCTAGGAAGCAAACCTAGGTCTTCTTCAAGAGCAGCATTTGCTTTAACTGTTGAGTCATCTCTCCAGTCCCCAGGAACTGGTGTATTGCTTAACGTGGATTTAAAGTTCCACACAAAAAATGGCACCTGCTTCAGGACTTTTTCTCTTTTAACTTGAAGACGCTGCATGATCCATTAAACAACAAAAGAATACTTAGCATATCCGTCACCTCGTGCATTTATTTCTCTGTGGCAGAAACTTTTCACAACCTGCTTTTCCAAGTATTTTAAAACACATACTATGTTTTGCTGGCTGTGGTCTACCTACTGTCCAGTTAAACTAGAACTTATCATTCAGGCTCAAAGTTACAATATTGGTTAGTTATCCTCTGATTTTCATCAAAAACTATTTGTACATATTTACTGTGTGATAATGTCAAAGATTCATACTTTTAGACTAAGTTATTACTTGTAAGTCTATGGAGAAACATGGCCACACAAGACAAGCTGTGGAGTGTCTTCCAAGGCCTTGGAGCTGTCACAGGCATGCAGGACTCACCGGGTTCTCGTGTCCTTCTGCATGTATCATGCACATTAAAGCATACCATTAAAAGGACCGTGACTGAAAACCAGTGCAGTGGGATCCTCAACACTTCTAACACAAGCAGAGCGCCACATTCACAGTCCAGTGGAAAAGGCTCTAACTGTCAAACACAAGCAGAGCGCCGCAGTCCCAGTGCAGTGGGATCCTCTAACGCTTCTAACACAAGCAGAGCGCCGCATTCACAGTCCAGTGGAAAAGGCTCTAACTGTCGGTTTTCTCTCTCAAGAAGGATCCAGTATTGAATCTGACTTACTGCCTGCAGCTCCAGTGAGCTAGGGGCTCCTACCTTGAGCCTGACTTCCCTCAAGCCCGCTCATCCTCCAATCCCATGTCTTTTCAATTCAGGTACAGTTTTCAAAGAATCCTGTTTGTATTTCTCAGTATCTTTGAGCATGTTTCTTCTTCACTCAGAAAGATCTTCCTGTTATCTGTCTTTGCTAGGAACATCCATCTAGGGCCTGATGTGAGCAAGCATTTATCTCCTAAGCCTTTTCAACACTTCTGGATATAGGCAACAGGACCTGAGGAAGCCCCCACCCCATGATGACAGAGTGTTGGCACTTCCCTCCTGTGTGCCCCACGGCTGTGGAGCAGCACCAGGGACTTTCTGTTCTGTGGGCTCTGGCCTTCACTATGCTTGGCACAGCCCCCAAGACTTCATCCTGACGTGCTATCCCAGCCCAGTATTCACAGCTGCTTCATGAGAAAGCGAAGGGAAGACCAGTTCCTTAAATAAGGTGTCTAACATTTACGTTTCTTGTGTGTGTGTGTGTGTGTGTGTGTGTGTGTGTGTGTTTGTGTGTCTCTGTGTGTGTGCCCCATGTGCAAAGTGGGCTGTGAAGTCCAGAAGTGGACATTGGATCCCCTGGAGTCGTTGTGAGCTGTGAACCCTGAGTGTTAGGAACCAGACTTGCGTCCTCTGCAAGAGGAATACTTTCTCTTAACTGCTGAGCCATGCCTCTCTCCAGCCCTGAAAATGAGTCCCCAAGCCTGTGCCCACTTCCATAGCCTTGCTTAGTATGTGTAAGCATGTACATACCATGGTACAGGGATTCTGTGTGGGAATACATGTGTGTGTTCACCACTCACTCTTGAGTGAACTCAGACAGCTGAAGAATAGTGCTTGGGAAGAAGCAGCTTCTGAAGAAAGTCAGAGCTTGCCATAGTGCTGCTGGCGCTGTACGGTGGAGTGCTGGGAGATTAAACCACTTTAGGTCACCACCCACCTGACCCCATGTGATTATGACAGCTAATTTACCTCACTTGTGTAATCCTTGTGAGAATTTTCACCACCCACCTACCCCATGTGATTATGACAGCTAATTTACTTCACTTGTTTAATTCTTATGAGAATTTAGCAAGAAAATCCATTTAAGAACATTATACCTTACAGATACATCTATGTATCATCCATTGTCTGTCTATCTTCTATCATCTATCTATCATCTATCTATCTATATCTATCATCTATCTCTATCTATCTAATGTACCTATACACCATCTATCATGAGACAATTCTCTCTCTATATATATATATATCTACCCATTCACTATCCAACAAAGACACACACTTAGCTGGTAGAAAACACTGCTCTAATTGAGGGAAGGAATCATTTTAAGACAAAAACAAACATGACACAATTCCTTAAAACTCAGTGTAAGTAGCATGTCATCTGATAGCTCTTGTTAGTTTAGTAAAGAGAATTATACAAATCACTTGTTTCAGTGGAACTAGCAAATAATATATTACAAGAGTACTGGATTAATTATTAGTCTAATTTCATTCTGTACTTAACAATTAAAAGGTGTTAATTTCTACACTAACCTATAAATTCACTTGCTATGAAGATCTTGAAGGGGGTCCCTGTGGAGAAAGTCAAATGCTCCATGTGAGCAGCATTAAAAGGAAATTCATAGATATTTTCATTGTATTTATAAAGTTTAAATCAATGACCATATTAACTGCAATATTTTAATTTAATTTTTTCTAATATCCATTATTTACCTTAATTTTCCTATGTATGAATAACATGTAAGTAATGCCCATCTACACATCCTGCCAAAAGCATGAGCTCAGTGCCCACGTGAAGTTCCTGGCCAAGGCTATCACATTTTGACAGTTTAAGAAGTTTGAAAATGTCTTCAATCCAAGCCAATGAATTTAAATTAAAAATTTAAGCTGCAATCTGTTAATATTAAAGAAGTTTTAATTTTAAGAAAGCAATACTACATTAAAGACTGTGGGAAAACCTTTATAGTTGATTTAATGTTTTATATCTAAATTCAATTTTCAGTAGAGTTCTTATATGATGTATTGCCATTTAATTAGTTTGCCTTACAGAAATTATTGGGTGGGCGGGCTCTCTCTTGGAAACAGAAATTATTGGAGTAGAGAGAAATCTAAATTACCAAAAAATGTAAATAGTAAGTTGAAAACAAAGACGTTTTTCTGAGCATCACATTGGCTGTGCTTCCTATCCTTTGGGCATTTGGAAAATGACATATACACACCCTGGGTACTGTCCTTTGTGACCTTCACCCTACCCCAGACCTTTACTTCATATGTCAGCGTTGCCCATTTTCCTGGGGACTTGGGCTATCCATGCGGCAGGGGTCTGCCAGTGAGAACTGGCCTCTCCTCCAGGTAAATCCTCCCTGGGGACTTTCTTCAGACTGTGGCTGACTTTATTGCCTACAGATGGATAACATGCTTTCATTCTCTCAAAAGTCCTTGAAATCCCTGATAAATACTATTTGATTTCGTTGACCACTTACCTGGATTTTCATGATTATTTCCTTTCAAATACAGTCTTACATTTATTGTCAAATACCAGATGAATTATAATATCACCATTTAAAATCTAAATTACAAAACATTCTTTATAGAGTCTAAAACATTTTTCAACTTAGCATATATGATATTTATTTTCTAATTATGTTTCCAAATGATCCTTATTAAAACATGAAATATTCCCCCAACAGAGAAAATTTAATGGTTTTAAAGCGTTTCATCATGACACCCAGTAAAACCCAAAACAGATCACAGAGATCCGATGAAAAGCTTCACTGGGCAATCAGTCAACACCAACAGTTTCTACTTTACCCACCTGGACTGTGGAAATGCATAGCATTCCCTCAAGTGTCAACATGGTCAGCAACGGGGGAAGAATAGTCAGGGTTTCCAGAATACGCACAAATTTTCTACCCTCTGAGCAGATACCACCTAAGATGGCCTGGCAAAGTGAACTTCACAGGAAGTAGACACCAATTGCTGCAGAGACTTGTTTATATGTTAAGCAACAGAAATGTGATGCAGGGCTTAAAAGAAGAGCATAGTAGAACCCAAATTGAACTCTAATCATACTTTGATCGCACATCTACCTGTGACGATACAAAGCTTAGAGTATTTCTTGGCAGTCGGTGACTCATGCAAAGCTCCTTGACTCTTTCCAGCCACTGGTGCTGGTTTATGTACAGCCGTGCTGGTCTCTCAGAGTCAGAGAAGTTCAGATCTTCAGCATCCCGGCAACGCAACTTTAGTTACAGGATGGAGGCGTCTGTACACATCTCTGCGGGCACCAAGTCCACCCTAATTTTTTCTCATGATTGCATTGTATCTATGTTCAGTTACATAAACCACATGCAAGTCTTAATGCCCCACAAAGAGCTGCACTATCATATATTCTAAGCGTTCCAAAGGAAAACAGTCAGCGGTGACGTAGCAGAGACACACGTCTAGAGCAGACCACATGTGTGGCTGGCAGACAGGGGTCTATGACTCCACTCATGATTTCTTTTCTCAATTCACAAGCTACAGAGTCTACCTGTGTGAACAATGATAACTCCTGTTTACAGATAAGAGAAAATGAAAAAGTCTATGCCCAACAAGACCAAAGCAGACAGACCTTGTACTCCATGCTTACAAGTTCATTTTCTTCAAATCTAATGCTAGGGAAGATATTTCTTCTTCACGGTTTTGTTAAATTTATACCAGAACGTCTTAAAATAAGATCAACATCTAAACACACCCAATCACAAATCTGAGGACAAAGAAACAAAACAAAGGTTCCCCCCCCAACTTTGCAAGGCTCAAACAAGAGTAAGTCCAAATTAACTGCTCAATTAAAAGTTCCCACTTTGACAAAAACGCTCATTTCATCAGATTGCTTTTCTCAGGCCCTAGCGTAACTTTAATAAAACTTTTCTACATTAACGATGAACACTTGACAGCCTCACAATGCTCCTGATTTATAGTCACTCCTCAAACTTTTCCTCGACAGCTAACGAAACAATAAATTCAGTCCATAAATTGAGATCAATGACGGAGAATTTTAGCACGTTTTGTGTAAGGTATTGTGGGAATTATGGGAAATAGTGTGCCAGTTATCAGCATGCTTCAAACCAACCAAATAGTTCTACCTGTGATCTGTGTAGCACGTCTGTGTCTAAGTCCACACAATGATTTCACAGCAGAACTTTAGATTATGTCAACAGTGAGCCAGTGTGCAAAGCACAGAAGTCTCCTACCTTCATACATGGCCTTGAATCCCTGCGCGCTCACTGCAAAGTCCGTGGTGAACCACAGTGTGAGGAGCGACCCAGTGCTCACGATGGCAGACGGCAGCTGGAATCCCGACAGCCTGGATGTAGAAGAGATATAAACAGAAAAGTCACGGTTAAATACACAAGGCGTAACGCTAAAGAGAAAATCTGTTAGTGAAATTTATTTGATGAAGTTCTTTGATAATGAGAGAAGTTTATTATGTGGACCCTGCTGGCCTTAAACTCCAGCTCCTTCTGCCTCAGGTTTCTGAGGACTGAGACTGAGATTACATGTATGACGTCATGCCCAGCTTTGATAATTAGCTTTGAAAATTTTAAAAATTATATTTATTTATATGTTATGTGTACGGCTGTTTTGCCTGCATGAGTGTAAGTATATCACTGGAGAAATGGTACAACATTGTTCTAAGCAGAGCAGATCAAGACACCCAGTGATGCATGATCACCCTTGCACACACCGTCTGAGTCAGTGTTTAGCCATCCGTGTTCAGTTCTGACTTCCTGCCTCACTAGATAGCGCTTGTCCTTGCATAAACAGGAAGCTCAGTTGCCTTCCTCAGAGGTCAAATAGCTACTGATCTTAACACTTCGTTTCAAGCTAAATCTTTTGTCTTGTAAGTAATGATGTCCACCCATCGCTATGTTTGTGTTTAAAAGCTTTAGTGGAGATAAAGTCAGAATTTGTGAAGAGTAAATAATAGGATCCACAAATGTAAACTTAAAATGTAAAGTTATGAGACTTTTAAAAAGAAAACAAGTAAAATCGTCAAGGCCCATGACTGTGTAAGAGTCTGCATTTTCCACCAGTGCCACAATGTAGTGCTTTAAAAAAAATTGTGTTTTTTCCAAAGTCAAAGGAAAACTAGGTAAGTCTATATTTTATGTAACTTTGTAATTAAAGGGGTTTTCTACAGATATGTGCTGTTGAGTACCCTGGACACTAGGTGACGGTTCTGAATCAATCAGAGGAAATGTGTAGGCCTGCAGAGGACATCCCAGCTTGCCAGTCAGCATGCAATGGCAGCTGTCTTCTTAGACCTCCAGAAGCTGAAATCTCAATGGTGGAACTAATCAGGATGGTCCACTAAGCACAATAAGGTAAAACAACGGATAAAAAGAAGACAGACTAATAAGTAGCAAAGTAAGATACAAAGATACAAAGTTGCTCACACTTGGCCTTGTTTTCCATTACAGTTATTTTGTATACATTTTACTTTAGTTTTATTTAGAAATACCAACTTTCAGGCTAGGGAGATGACTCAATAGGCAAAGCGCTTTTTGTGCAACTATAAAGACTTAAAATGTGATGCTTGGCACTCAGGCTAAAAGGGGTGCCGTGCACCTGTGACTCAGGCATGTGGAGGGGAACAGGTGGTAGCTCGTTGGGCAGCTGATCTAGCCAAGTCTGTGAGCTCCGGTTCAGTGAAAAACTGTCTCAAAAAATAAGGTGAAGATCAATTGAGAAAGACCGCTGACCTCAAGCCCTGTTCTCCATACACACACACACACTGGTGTTGGTGTATCCACATGTGTACCCATGAACATGTGCATGTACATGCACCACACATAAGCTATCAGAAGGTCAACTTTCCTTGTTTATTATATAGTCATTATCTTGGCCACGATTTCTTATAAGTCAATCTTAAATAGCTTTTTTATTAATTAATTAATTTTTTTTTGTCTTTTTGAGACAGGGTCTCCCTGTAGCCCCAGCTGGCCTGGAACTCACTATGTAGACCAGGCTGGCCTTGAACTTGCAGAGATCCACCTGCCTCTGCCTCCTGAGTGCTGGGACTAAAGGCGTGTGCCACCATGCTTTTTAACTGAAAAGATATGGGGAAACAGGCAAGTGTGTCAAAATGTACACAACCAATGGTTCGAGACCAGCATTGAATGAGACACAATGCTTCAAGATGTACACAGTAAGCAGGTGGCGATGGTGCGGAGTATCAGCCCGCCTTATTTCAGGACTTATTTTGTGCTACAGTAATGAAAGTTATCTGGTTTAGATCTACTGGAACAGGGCTAAGCCCACAGATCAATACACCAAAGTAGACTTGACCTGGAGCTGCAGGAATATGTCTTAATACTATTCAGCAAAGATGTAAGTTGAAAGAAACATCAAGAACTTGACTCGGAACACCTAGACCTTCATAGGCAACAAAATGATCCTAATGAGAGAATCCAAAAATGTACACTTAAAATGTAAAATGATGAGACACTTAGAGAGAGAATAAGAAAAGCCTCAAGGTCTAGGCCTATGGAAAGAGTCGACATTGTACACTTAATTTGTAATTCTGAAGCAGTTAACAAATGGATTTCATAAAAATTTAAAACTTCTCCTCGTAAAGGCCCTATTAAGAGGATTCAAAGTCATGTAAGAGATTAACAGAAAACATTCTCCGGCTCTGTATCTGGAAAAGCTGAATTGTCTAGAATGATAAGCCCAGTAACAAAGGAATAAGCAACACAATTAGAACATTGGTGAAATATATCAAGGGTCATATCACATAAAAGTGAGGCAGATAGTACTACACGAGGAGATCACCAGCAACATTAGTCTCTAGGAAAATGTGGATTCAAACAAAAATATTCACACGGCACCCAGGGCTGCTGAAACGGAACACACTCAAAGCTCAAAGACCAGCTGGAAGGCAGAGAAATTGCTTATCTCATGCAGATCTAATCAAAACCTGAGCAGGTCCAGCCATTCTGGAAAACAGTCCACCATTTTCTTACAAAGTACACAGGAAATGAGGAGGTGAAAGTGGTTCAGACTGTTTGCTGCTCTGGCGGAGGACAAGGTCCAGTTCTTAGCATCTACCCTGGGCTGCTCACAACCCCTGTAAGGCCAGCTCCAGGGGATCCAGTGCCCTCTTCTGGCCTCTGTCGGTACAGCACTCATGTGCACATCCATAAATATATGAACTTACACATATGAATACATTTTGTAAATATGTGAAAATAAATAAGCAGCTTCCATCAAACTTAGGAACTGTTCTCCATGGCATTTTCATAAGAAATCCCTCTACTGAGGTAAATGTTCTTCCTCACGACTCTCCATATTCTGATACTATTATTTTTTTATGCACTTGTAAGATGATACCATTGGGGAAAATAGTTCAGGGTGTTATGTATTTCTTGAAAATTTCTCAACAATATGAGACTCTATCATCTTCTAAATTAAGCACCTTCAGTAAATACATTGAAAAGCTTGAGAGAGATTCAAAATATTAATAAATAAAATAATAATTTAGTAGAAATCCCACAAATACAGTTAATAACATAAATGTTTTCATTAATCATCAAAAGATAATGGAACAAAAGTATTGAGAACTGTTTTATTTAATCATCCAGCCAACCACTTTGAAATTTTAAATATTTATTAGCATAAGTTTAGATGCAATGTCATGGGATAGCAATTTAGAAAAATACAATTTCATGTTCTCATTAATTAGGCTTTTATCCAGAACAGTTATTATGAAGAAACAAGGTCAAGGCACAACATACAAACTCAATAAGAAGCCACAAGCTGAGAGGTTTTTCCAGACATGTCTGTGTGGAGTCAGTGAGTTCAGTGCAAAGTGTGTGCACGTGAGCCTTTCTTCCACAGCTGGAGCAGAAGAGGCTCCCTCACATCCTACTGCACGAGTTGGATGAAACTTGGGCAGAGGAAGATGGAGACAATGCATCATCCAGTCCATCCTGAGCTTCAGGAGCCGAGTCTGCAGATGGAGAGTCGCAGCCTTCCCTGCATCGCACTGGCAGACAGCAAGGAAGAGTCCCTGGGCGTGACTCTACAGGCCGTCTATTGAGGACACACCAAGACGCACCCCAGAGTGCTGAGACCCAGACCCCTTAAGGCAGCTCATGCAGGTCACGTCTCTCTCTTCCAGCGAGGAGTCACTGCTACTCATGAGCTACCTGAGTGTTTGGTGCCCAGTGATTCCTACAGCTTATCATGGTCCTCTAAGTGTTGATAAGCCACAGTCACGTTTCTGGACTTGTCTGAGGAAATGTGCCATGTCCCCTGAGTCACTCATTATGTCCCTTCTGATGTGCTGTGTTCCAGGCCTGTTTGTGTGTCCATAATCCCCATAATAGGCAGACAGAAAACAACATTGGTCAGCTTTCCCCTCATCCCCTTTCTCCCCTTAAGCTGGTCTCTCTCACCCACAGTCTATGAACATGAGACCTATCGCTCCTGTGCTCTGACGTATAAAGTTAGAATCTCAGAGAAACAAATCCACCACATGTTCCAACCACTGTGAGGAACCAGGGATGGCAACACACCCAGGAGTGCATGTCTCTGCTTATGCTTTGCCCCGTGACAGGGTTTTGCGAACACGCCTTGCACTCTTAACTATGACTCCCTGTCCCTGGAGGTGAGCTGGGAAGGAGACGTCTTCACCCAGCAGCACATGTCCCGACCTTCTCTGCAGAGAGTTACCTTGTCACCCCGTACAAAGCATCAGGCATCTGTCCAGGCACCGACTGAATTGATGGTAGGAACAGACTGATCAGGTGAGTGAATCTATGGAGATGCGACATTAAAAAATCTATTTCATTCTTAGGAAAAAACATAGGTGGTGTCAGTCCACACGTGCTTTTTGCTGTCTTTTCTAGAAGCCTCCTTGTCCTGCAGGATCTCATTTACATTTGCACTGGGGAGAAACCAATTCCCTTCTCACATGCAGCGATCTGGGCGACTGATAGCACATGCCTGTCAACATGAGTGATGGTTAGATAAAATAGGAATGACTCCTGCCAGGCCAGGGTCTCTCTATTCCAGATACATGTTTTTTTTTTCAGCAAAAGCATGAGTTTCAGAATTGAACAAGTTTATTCTTCTTCCATTTATCAAGAAATTATGAGGGTGAATTGCACCAGAAATAGTTATTTAAATTAGTTATCTAAAGTACTTCATACTCTATTATTGTTCAAGATCTGTGAAGCCCACCATTTGAGAATCCAGAGGGACAGAAGTGGAGATTCCACATAGAAAAGGAAAATTCAAGGAAGAGCCAACAGCGGAGACCAGAGCAGTATTATTTACATCAGGTCAAATAACGAGGGA